AATCTCTTCACTATATAACTAAAAATCTTCTTCTTCTTCTTCTTGCTAACAAGAAATAACTATAGGCAACATAAGCTACCAAGTCCCCTCCTTCCACGGCCACTTCTTCATCCCCACTCCCCCCAGAACAGCCATGCACACCGAGGCGTTCCGCGATGCAGCAAAAACGGAAGAAGCCCATAATATCGCCATGTCAGTGGGCAAGGGTATGGCTGTGGCCGGACTCAAGGTCCTAACTGACAACAGTTTCGCGGCCCAAGTGAAGGATTACTTCGAGAAGGATAAAAAATTGCGATAGTATACTCTTCTATTACTACCCTTGCTGGATCCCATGCAATGAATGTTTTGTCATACAAGGGTGGTAGATGATTAACTATAGTATGTGGTAAATGAGCAGAGGGCAATACTAATAAATACTAGAGTCCTCAGTAATATCCAGACTTGGAAGAGCCCATCTCAGAGTAACAATGAAATAGGATGTAAATGATGCGTTCTACCGAACTCCAATAAAATATCAAGTGCATGCATGGTTTCTCGAGTACCAGTCCACTACCAGCGAATAACCAATTTATGAAGTACTAAAGAACAAAATCAGCTCTAATATTAACTGGCGAACTACTAACTAACTAGTCAATCAACATCGATGACATAGCCTCTTTGTGTATTGGTTGATGAATGTCCTCGCTTCGGGCCATCTTCAACCCGAAGGGGCCTTCTCTTCTCGGCGTAGTGATTGTCCCGAGACGCGACTTCGCCGGTGGTTGTCCCGGGGGGTAATTTCGCGTGCAACCATGGGTATGGTATGCAATGGCCTGATGGGATTTGAGTCTAAGCGGCGTAGATAAATTAGTGAATTTTCAGACTAGAACCACTGAGTGATTATAGCTAGAAGTACTATGATTACGTGGAGTAAAGTTTGGGACAGAACTATGGGTTGAAGTCTACAGTAACTGCAAGTTAACAATTTGTAATCATCGTAAATTCGTATCCTAGTTGTTTTACATGAACCAGTCATGGCTATCTGCGTAGAAGCTAACCCAAGATCCACGAGCTCGTCGCCGAAGCGAGCTCTCCCAATTTTCTCACGATGTCAATTATTAACTTAGAAGAGAGAATCGCCCAGACGGTAGTGGACGGCCTTGATCTGGGTGTAGTTCTCAAGTGCGTACGAGCCGAGCTCGCGGCCGATACCGGACTCCTTAAAACCTCCGAAGGGAACCTGGTAGGAGAGCATGTTGTAGCTGTTGACCCAGACAGTTCTATGTGCTTGTTAGCGAGTGAATTCAATTTATGTAGTAGTAATGGTGACTTACCCAGCACGGAGAGCGTTGGAAACACGGATGGCAGTGGTGACATCCTTGGTGTGGATACCGGCAGCAAGACCTAGGACATAACATTAGCACTTGGCATCGCAGCAATTTGATTCCGGAAGGACTCACCATAAGAAGTGCTGTTGCCGATCTTGATAGCATCCTCAACATCCTTGAACTTCTGAACAGTGACGACGGGGCCGAAGATCTCCTCCTGGTTGATCTTCATGTCGGAGGTGACGTCGGTGAAGACGGTAGGCTGGATGAAGTAACCCTCGGTGCCGTGACGCTCACCACCGACAGCAACGGTAGCACCAGCATCCTTACCGTGCTGGATGTACTCCATGATGCGGTCGAACTGGAGCTGCGAAACCTGGGGACCCTGGAAGGTGTCCTGGGCGAAGGGGTCACCGACCTTGTTCTGGAGAGCACGCTCCTTGAGACGCGCAATGAACTTGTCGTAGATGCCTTCCTGAACCAGGATACGGGAGCCAGCGCAGCAGCACTGACCGTGGTTGTAGAAGATACCGAAGTTGGCCCAGGAGATAGCGTTGTCAATGTCGGCATCGTTGAAGACAATGTTGGGGGACTTGCCACCCAGCTCAAGGGTCACCTTCTTCAGGTTACTCTTGGCGGCGGCCTGGAGGATAGTACGACCAACAAGGGTGGAGCCAGTGAAAGCGACCTTGTCGATGTCCATGTGGTGAGAGATGGCGGAACCGGCAACACGACCGAAACCGGAGATGACGTTAACCACACCGGCGGGGATGCCTGCCTCCTTGACCAGCTTGGCAGCATAGAGACCGGACAGAGGAGTCTGCTCAGCGGTCTTGAGGACAACAGTGTTACCGGTAGCGATGGCAGGACCGATCTTCCAGGACCACATCAGCAAGGGGAAGTTCCAGGGGATGATCTGTCCGCAGACACCGATGGGTTCGTGGCGAGTGTAGTTCAGGGTCTCAGAGTTGGTGTCGATGGTCTGACCATGGATCTTGTCGGCCCAGCCACCATAGTAGCGCAGGCAACCGGCAGCGGCAGCGATATCACCCTTGGCCATGGTGATAGACTTGCCATTGTCCAGGGCTTCGATGGCCACCAGGATCTCGGCATCACGCTCGAAAAGGTCGGCGAGCTTGGTCAGCATGCGGCCACGGGTGGAAGGAGTGACTTGGCGCCATTCGCCCTCGAAGGCCTTGCGAGCAGCGGCAACGGCGGTGTCCACATCCTTCTCCGAGGCCTCATAGACGGAGACAATGGGCTTCTCGTTGGTGGGGTTGATGGTCTCGAAAGTCTTGCCATCGGCACCCTTGACGAACTCGCCGTCAATGAACCTGTAAAGTAAACAGTGGTTAACTCTCTACCCAAAGTAATATCGAGGGGATGGAACGCGGGGTGACATACAAGCCCAGAGGCTGTTCATACTTGACGCCGTTAGGGGTCGTGATGGTAGCGTAGAGGTCAGACATGATGAGAGATGAGGAGATGAGATGTGGTTAGAGAAGAAAGAGAGAGGGAAGAGAAGAAGAGAGGAGAGTGGGGAAGGGGAGAACTATCAATTAATAAAGGAGACAGGAAGTTTAGTCACTAGTGGTGGGGTAGGTAGGAGTGGGTGGGGGCAGACAGAAAGTGAGAGAGAAGTGATTGATGGCTGATGGTTGAAGGGAGGGGAAGCTGGCGAGGCGCGAGGGGGAAACGCCAGCGGAGATCATCCTCGTCCACCGGGTTTAGACAGACTAGTTAGTTCCAGCTGGACTGGTCTAGTCGGATCCATGGGAGGAATTCCGGGTCTCATCCATTGCCATTTACCTCATCTGAATCTCTCCGCGAATAGCCACCCCCTCTTCTGCAGGCTCCGATTGGAGAGACCAAGCTCCTTGAGACCGAAACCCACAGCGAGTTAACCTACGTACTCCCGAGACCCCTATAGTAGCGATTATATTATTATATCGCGGTAAAGCATAATAAGATCAGGGCAATGAAGGGAACCTGAAAAGTCGGGATTCCCACATGCCAGCCCGTTTCTCCACTCTTTATCCAACAATCGCCAGCGATCGTGCGGGGTTTCGTTATCCATGGTTTTTCTGGCCACCACCACCATCCAGGTCCCCCCTGGTGTCAGCCATTTACTTGTTAGTTAAATATTCACTCTTCAAGAATCAAGAGACCCTGTGGCGTTGGTTGTGGAGGGGATGGTTATCGCTAGTCTTGGTTTGACATGGTTACGTCTAGTTTCCTCTTACATCATACCGAAGAAGAATGAAGGACCTTTGGCGGACGGGAGAATAGAAGCTAGTAGCTAGGCAACCGGTTAGTGAGTTATCAATCATCTCCTTTTTGTAACTCACTAGGGAAGTATTACTCACAGCTATGGAGCATTGGAGCAAGCTCTTTTCGTATTTCCGAAAACCCTCCACCTCGGTGTGAGTGGCGGGGACCAAGTGGGATCTAGTCTCTTGAGCTAGTTTTGTTGACCTGCAAGCTGCAACATTTTAGTCAGCCAGTCATGTTGTTCCCTTTTATGATGGGGATTCTCGTACTTGGATAGTAAGTAGTTCACGCTTTTCTTTGAACATCCCTGTCTAGTCCATTGGACACGAACCAGTAAAATCTCATAATCTTACTCCCCAAACTCTCAAAGTAAGATGAACAAACAGAAAAAGAGGGGGAATGCAACGAAGCTGAGAGATCCCGAGGCATTAGTCTGATTAGTCTCAAGAAAGTGACCCACTAGCGCCAAGTCACTAGCGGGTTACCGTTGAGGTTTAGCCACGATGACACCTTCGCCTGCTGCTGCTGCGACGGGCGGGAGTTTAGCCCGAGCTGGTAAGGATTCAAACCTGGGGGTGGTCGGCTGATACGCTGGACCATTTACTACTGGGCAGCGATCTAAGACCTCCTTGCCCGTCTCGGGCGAGTTGTTACAAGTTACAACCCCTCCCAAGGTACCCCAACGCATATTTCCGCTGCCTATAGATAGACTACTTGGGTTGAGTGTTCAGCCCAGAAACTGCTCCCCCACTTATCTCCAACCAACCCCATCCACTATTACTACGAAGTGTCAATTAATTCAGAACTCTCCGTTTTTCACTCTGACCAGGTCTCTATCTGAAACGGTAAGATCTATGGTATCCCGCTGCCATGGCAATGCGTGATCTAGTCTAGTGTGCTTTTATCATTATAAAACCACCAAATCCCGGTCCAATCAAGTAGATAGCAACTACGAAACTGTTCGATAGGATCTTGTCTTCTCTCAAGGGATTAGTTGCATGCAGTCTAGTCTAGTCCTGCAGCTTACACAGTTCATCTCTTATCTCCGGTTCTACTCCGTAGTGCCCGCTTACGCGCCCCTCGTGGGGTTTGCTTTGGCTTGTACCTGCCGGATCCAGCCTCGGCTTCTGCTCTTCTGATACCGATTGCGATCTTTCCCGAAGAAGCGAATCTGCCAACTTCGGGTTGATTTATACCGGCGGGAGGTTAAGACTCTTCTCATCTCACCAGATTCCAGCGAATCCTGCCAGTGTGTTTCTGCCTGATCTTTCCTCCGAATGAAGCTTGATGGTCCTGGTACCGACAACTGCCATAAAAACAACCTCGGGATAGTACTCCTCCGTGGACTTGCTGCTTACTTGCTCTTGAAATTTATTGGGAGACATCCATTCATTCTACAGGGCTCTTCTGGTAGGACAGACGTTTTGATGTTCTATACAGGTGCTCATGGCCACTGTTTATGGCGAAGAATTTTCTTCGATTATAGAATAGAAGACGTCTTTGCGAGGTCTCTGAAAGCGCACTATTGGACAGCCGGTTCAATTTGTTGTGAACCCATTCGGTTCACCGGAAGAGATACCGGAAAGAATGCTTGAATACAGAGCGAAATCCAGGAGCAATTACAATCAAGTGACTCATGGATGGTATGTGTTGTTGTGCTGCAATGCAATGCTACAAAGTACAACAACACCGCGTTATCAGTGCCGATCGGCGGGGTTGAAATACTCTGGAGTCTGGCCATCACTCCCCGGCATGAAGTCAATGGGTGGCCTGAGTGCATGCAGCCCCCGACCGAATGGTGTCAGTCACTGCCTTCAAGGTGTGCAGGTTATTAACTTAATTCTGTAACAGTTCTGCGAATAAGGACAAAGACTTGAAGTAGGACAGCAGCCTGACTCAGCCCTGTTACTGGTCTTTGTCACTGCCGACTACGCGCCTATAAGAAGCCCCTAGCTTCACACATCCCCTCTTGCTACTGTGCTGCATCCTGCTGCTCTCTTGATTCGCTTCTGACTGCCGTATATCCATTTCGCTGCTAACGTAAAATGCCAACTTTCTGGCCGTCAATTACCCCAGAGCTTCGAGACTGGGCGTTGCGCCAAAGCGTCTTTTTCGTGGCCTCTGCACCTCTGCAAGGACGACATGTAAATGTGTCGCCCAAAGGATTTCCTGACTCGTCTTTCGCCATCCTGGGTCCTAACGAGGCAGCTTACGTTGATGCCACCGGCTCGGGGAGTGAGACCATCAGCCATGTGCGTGAGAACGGTCGACTTACCATCATGTTCTGCTCATTTGATGCCTCGCCAGGCATCGTGCGCTTCTTCTGCACTGGCTCTGTGATCGAGTACGATGAGCCTGATTTCCCCGGCTACCTCGAGCGGATGGGAGGCAAGAAAGTGGTGGGAGCGCGGGCTATCATCCGTCTGAATGTCTTTAAGGTTCTCTCCCCGACCCCTCTTGGAAGCGCCCTCTGGCTTATTGCCGCGAGAACAATTCAATGCTAACAACTGATGTGATGCATGTTATGGGCTACAGGTCCAACGTTCTTGTGGTTATGGTGTCCCGCGATTGTCCCTGCAAGTCGACCCCGAAACCAACAACACCAAGCCGTATCTCCAAGATCGCGATACCCTAGGCCATTGGACAGGCAAAAGAGTTGAGTCCAATGAGCTTCGCACCTATCAGAAGGAGTGGAACGTACGAAGTCTGGATGGGCTACCTGGACTACACACTGCGCTAAAGGATAACCATCAGCTTGTCTGGTTGAAGCAGTTGGGCAACTGGACTCGCCGTCACAGAGACGAGATCGAGATGGTCAAAACCTCCATTCTGTTGTTGTTTATTTCTATGGCTATCCTGCAATGGGCGGGATACGTGTAAATGTAGTATGAACTGTGACAGAACCGAAGGGTCTGTTGCTTGTAACCATTTGGAGCTGGCCTGGTGGCGTGACCGCTCATCTAATACTCATGTGACCTAGACTTTCCCCTCTGCTGCTTGGTTGAGCTTCTTTCAACTGGTCGCTCCCGCATAGTGGCGCATTAATGCGACTTGTTGATCTCTATGCCTGCGTAACTCAATTTCACTTAGGTTGTTCATCATCTTCTTGTGCCGGTCGATCCGACCGCAATGCGGCAGGTGAAAGCAGATCCCCGCATCATCGTCCCAGACAACCGAATGTCCTCGGCATCTCGCTGGAGAGGAGCTCGCACTATGTCCTACCTTCCCTCTGTTTCATGGAACTGGCTACCTGGGCAATAAACTCTGGAAGTGCCATCTATATAAACACTTTTTCATGACCGGACGAGATACTTTCGCTGTTTCTCGCTCGCTTTTCACACTATCTCTACTGTAACGGTCAATACACCTATATATTATCATGGCCCAACGATCGGTCCGTATAGCTGGTACGTCGGCCTACTTGAGACGCCCCAATACTGTTTATAGTTCATTGACGAAAATTAATAGGAGCCTCTGGGTCCAACGCTGACCGTCGCCATGCCATCGCCGAGTTCGCTCGCAATTACCCTCAAGATCCAGTCGATGTGATCATTGCTGACTACATGAGCGAGGCGAATATGGTGGCATCAGCGGCCCGTACAGTAGAACAGCAGCAGCGTAAAGAGCAAGGCACACACGGATCCTCGACGATCGAGGCACCAGGCTATGAAGTTGGCTTTCTTCAAGCCCTGGACCCAGCCCTGTCAGACCTAGCAAAATACGGCATCAAAGTGGCGGTGAATGCAGGAAACACGGACACAAAAGGCCTCTACAACGTGGTCAAGCAGATGGTGGAAGCAAAAGGACTGAACCTCAAGGTCGATCTCAAGATGATCTCTGAAGAAGCCATGCTCACGTAATTCTAGGTAGCTTGGGTCTCCGGAGATCAAGTCCTGTCAACCGTCAAAGCTGCATGGTCGTCGGGGAAGTCAGCCTTCGCCAATATCTATACCGGCGAATCCCTCTCCGATTGGCCTTTCGAGCCTATATTTGCCCAGTGCTACTTGGGAGGACTCGGAATCGCCGCCGCTCTATCCCAAGGAGCTGATATCGTACTCTGCGGACGAGTCTCCGATGCGTCCCCAGTCATTGGAGCTGCGTACTGGTTCCATGGCTGGAACCGCACTGACCTCGATCAGCTAGCTAACGCATTCGTAGCCGGTCATCTCATCGAATGCAGCAACTATGTCTGCGGCGGCAACTTCACCGGCTTCAAGGCCCTAGAGCATATCGGTCCTGACGGCTGGTCCAATATCGGATATCCCATTGCGGAGATCTCCCCGGAGGGCAAAGTGATCATTACCATGCAATCCTACGCGCGCGGAGGCGCCGTTACCATAGACACCTGCTCATCGCAGCTCCTATACGAAATCCAAGGCCCATGGTACTTCAACTCCGACGTAACTGCCATCCTCAACGACATCCACTTCGAGCAAATCAGCTCCAACCGCGTCGCCCTCCACGGGGTCCGCTCCGGACCACCACCCCCAACTACCAAAGTCGGCATCACAGCCCGCGGCGGCTTCCAAGCGGAAGCGATCTACTTCCTCGTAGGCCTCGACATCCCATCCAAGGCACGCATGCTCGAGTCCCAAATCCGCCGACTCCTCTCGCCATATACCCCCAAATTCACCAGCCTCCAATTCTCAACCCTCGGCTCTGCCCCCGAAAACCCCGACAACCAAGACAGCGCCACCGTCTGCCTCCGCATCGTCGCCCAAGCCCGCCACGCAGAAGACCTCTCCCCAATGCATTTCCTCCGCTCCATCGTCGACACCATCATGCAAGGCTACCCGGGGGCCACTTTCCACCTCGACACCCGTCAGGGCTTTCCCCGCCCCGTCTACGAATACCACGTCACCCTTCTGCCCCAATCCGACATCAACCATCAAGTCCACCTCCCCTGGCTCCACCAAACCCTTACTATCCCACCACCTCCAATAACAAAATCCTACCCATCCCGCCAACCCTCCCAATCCCTCACCGACAACCCCACTCTAGACTTCGGCCCCACCATCCGTGGCCCTTTGGGCTGGATCGTCCACGCCCGGTCTGGCGACAAGGGCCCCGACGCGAACTGCGGGTTCTGGGTCCGTCATGCAGACGAGTACCGCTGGCTTCGGTCGTTGTTGTCCGTGTCGGGGATCAGGGAACTCCTGGGAGAGAAGTATACTGCCAATTCGGAGCTGAGGGTTGAGAGGTTCGAGTTGCAGAATTTGAGAGCCGTACACTTTCTATTCAGGAATCTGTTGGATAGAGGGGTGGGGGTCACTACCATGGTGGACTTTTTGGGGAAGAATGTTGCAGAGTTTCTTAGGGCCAGACATGTCGATTTGCCGGTCAAATTTCTAGAGAGGGGGAAGCTGTAGGTCTTGCTGAGGACTATCGCCTGTTGACATGTGATGGGTGGAATCGATGTGGAGTGTTAAGAGTAGTAGCTAGAATACTACCAGTCAAAGCTTACTACTGACTTTTCGAGTTGATTCAAACATAGTAACTTGCCAGTAATATGTGGTATCTCATAACTAGCTCTCATGCTTATATATCATCATTTGACGCCATAAATGCAACACTGCTAACAAACAGTAGCAACATCTCACGATCCCTTCTCATCCCCCCAACTGAATAGAATGATCATCTCCGCCTCGCACTACTAGCCATCGGCTCAAACGCATCACTATCATCCTCAATATCCTCACTCGCCGCTCTCGTCGCCCTCGTCGATCGCCCAGACCCCGCCGTCCCACGCACACTACTCTGCGATCCTACAAAATTCAGCGTCGTCTGAGTTGCTTGCTTGCCCCGAGTTCTTCGCGTAGCTTGTGCCGTCCCTCCAACTGTGTTGGATGATGGTGCTGGAGATGGGGCTTTGCGGCGTTGGCTTGTGCTGGTTGTTTTTGTTGCTTTTGCTGGCGCTGTTGTTGTTCTGCGGGATCTAGTGGTGGCTGGTTTGGCGGGTTGTTTGACGAAGAGGGAGTCTTCGTCGTCGTCGTCATCCTCATCGTCCTCATCCTCGTCGATGTTGGGGGCTGCGTTGTCGTCGTCGTCATCGTCGTCGAGCATTATGACGTCCTCTTGTTCGTCTTCTTCGTCGGAGGAGATGGGGCGGCGTTTGCGGGTCTTAGTAGATGCAGATGATGTGGTGGTTTTCTTGGAGGCTGTAACAGGTGCTGCTTTTGTGGTGGTGGTTTTCCGGGTTGTAGCGGTAGCGGTGGTGGTGGCTCTACCGCCACGGCCTCGGCCGCGGCCGCGGGTAGATGATGTTGTTCGTGATGTGGTGGGTGCTTCGGCGCCATCTTCGCCGGCTACATCTTCGTTAGGGTCGCCGTCATCATTGTCGGAGTGAATAAGAGCACCCGGCTGGTCCTCCCAGACACCGTCGAATTCGGTGTCCCAGCCGTCGGGCTTGGGTTTGAAGCGCTTCTTGCCACGCGTGCGTTTCTTGATGCCGCGGGAGAACATATCTTCCATTTGCGTGCGATATCTCTCCATGGCTTTTTGTAGGGAGCTCTCTGCTACTTCTTCTTCTTCCTCTAGATCGTTGTCGCGATCTAGGGCTAGTAGGTGCTTCATTTGGCTTTCGAGTGATTCGTTGACGAACATTTCCAGGGCGTGTTTGTCGTCTTTGTCGATGAATTGGGCGACTGCGTCGCCGAAGGAGTTTTGTGGAAGGATGGTGAGAGATTGTGCGGAGAGGAAGTCGCGCACTAATTGTTCGACTTTGACGGTGTCGAGGGTGGAGAGGTGTGAGACTGCTGTCTCGTCGAGGTCGGCTTCTCCCGGTTTGCGCGTGCTATTGGTGTTTTTCTTCTTGCGGTAGAATTGGACAACGTCGTTCACGTTGGCGACTTTGCCTACGAAGCGGTTGGAGAACCGCTGTGGGTTTTCGCAGTCATAGCTGCCTCCTTCTGGCGTGGATGTTTCGACGCGCAGTCGCACTAGTGGTAGAGGGACTTCTAGCTCTTCATCTTCTGCTGTCTCGTCTTGCATTTCTAGCCATTCCGTTTTCGCTTCTTCGATCAATTCCTCGACGATCTCCATGAGAAGGCGGGTTACTTCCGTGCGATTGTTGTCCTTGCGGGCAAGCTTTTGCGCGCCTTTCTCTTCGGAGAGGATGATTTCGCGCATGGCGAATGGGCGGACGGACTTGAGACGGATGGGCTCGCATTTGAACTCACGGCCTGTGATGCTGAGAATGGCTACATGTTTGGCCACCGATTCGCCGGGAACCAGGGATGTCGCGACTGATGAGCCGGGCTGCATGACGTGAAACTTGGTCTCGGGGTTCAGCCGCGGATTGATCAGACACTCGTGTTCGTGACCCCAAATGACGAGATCTAGGAATTCGGGGAGGAAATTCTCTGGTAGGTAGCCTGTCTCGGTATGTGCGTAATGGTTCTGATGGACGGACATCAAGTTGAACCAGTCGTCTTTCTGAATTGAGGGCTGGTAGAACTTGACCTTGCCGTCCCGGAATGTGCGGAATAGACGTTCATCGCGGACGTTGCTCATACCGTAAAGAGCAAGTTTCGTGCGTCCTTTCTGAAGCAAAACCGGCTTGATTTGGATATTATCCGACTCGGGGGTCCGCCCATAGTAGTTGATCAACCCAGACACCTGAAGTAGGTCCAATGCAGCTAGATGTCCCTCTCCGGACGGATCATCATGATTGCCATGGATCGAAAAGATGGGGATAGCCACGTTGATATCCAGATCCTCGTAGTTTACGTGGTTGAAAGCACCCTGAAAGTTTTCGCTCGCATCACTTAGCATCTCCAGTTCGCAAGGCTTATCGCCTAGACAGTTCATGCGAATGGAGCGCATGACTTGGTACATGGACTTGCGCGATGGCTTGTTCTCGTGGAAGAGATCGCCTGCCAGGAGCACCATGTCTACATCTTGCTCCTTGGCCAAACACATCACCTCATGAAAGCTTTTCCAGCTGTCATCGCCACGAATGGGATCCCGCTCATTGTATCCGACATGGTTGTCTGTTGAGACGAGAATGCGGATCGTTTCCGAGTCTGGATGCATCAGCAACGGGCAGTCAGCAGAGAGGAGAAATCTTACTTACCATCTAATCTAGGCATCGTGAAGAGAACAAATATACAAAGAACTCGGAGTGATAGGAGAAGAGTAGACGGTATCGAAAAAAGCAACTTTGTGAAAAGTTGAGGAATCCCAAAAGAGTAATATTACAGGCGACTACTATGTAGCCTGCAGGCTACCGTAGAGGAATGCTGCCTGGAAACGCAAATGAATCAACGACCATCAAAATTGAGCCATGAGCATTACGAGAAACAAAGGCACGTAAGTTAAAAGTGAGGGAGCGGCACTCAATAAAATGGCGATGTATACTACTTGCTGCATGGATGGCGACGAATGCCGGGAAATGAAGCCATTCGCGGGACGGCGCGTGAGCACGTGACTGGCACGCGCGCGGAAGACGGGCGCTGATTGATTCCTCGCCCGGGAGGCAACACTAAGCAAGATTCCCCTCCGTTGATTCTCGTCGGATCGCCGGACTGTCTTCGTCCTCCTTCGCCTGTGACTCTCTTGTCTCTCTCTCCTCCCCTCTCTGTCCTCCCCTTTTGTCCCTCCTCGTCTCGTCTCGTCCTACCTTCCATCGCATCGTATCGCGCCACACGTTTTCGCCGTCTTTCTCCTCTGTCGCCTGTCCTTTTCTGTCCGACTGATCCAGATTTCGTCCCTGGTTCAGTCGCCTCCAACATCCCAGTTACCCCGCGAAACTCTTTTATGCAATCCGAGCCTACTGCAGTTTTCGACCGTTCGCTTTCGGTAGACCCCTCTTTAGACGTGCCCTTCAATTCTACTCAGCATGGAAATGATTCGCATGGTGAACACCCAGTCTCTGGGCTTCGCCATCAGAAGTCTGGGGACTCCAGTGTCGGTCATGACTCATGCGATGGCGGCCAGCAGTCGCCCTTGAAGGAGGCTGACCCTGCGCCGTTCCACGACCTTGTCGGTCAGTATGAGCATACCGTCGCTCCGTTGATTCAGAAAGAGGAGGGAGTAAAATCTAGGAAGAAGCAGCCGTCCAGCTACTCGGGCTTGTCCCTGGAAGCCTTCCCAAATGGTATGTCATCCCGTTATCTCGGGCTCTGAACGTCATGTTAATGATCTTCCCACAGAGGTTTTGACGCACATCCTGTCGCATCTGCCTCCCCCTTCTCTGTCCTCGATGGCCCTTGTGTCTCGCCATTTCCATGGTCTTGTCACGACACCTCACGCATGGAGAATTGCTTTTTCTCGCTACTTCCCGGGCCCCTACACTGTCGAGGATGGCGCGTGGCTTTCTGCAGCGAAGTCTTCGGAAACGGTGACGTCTGATAAGCGGTATTTCTCCAGGCTGACTGCGCTGGCATCCTGGAGGAGTGAATATATTATGAGAACCCGCTTGCTCCGATCGCTCTCCAGAGGCAAGCCGGCGCAGTTCGAACCATCCAAGAAAACCGGTACGGTGCGAGCGGCTAGCGTCCGGAATGGCAGCGCCGTAGCCACCTATACCTCACAGCTTCTGTACCCTGTCAGCCACTTGCACGGCTCCTTCGGATCGGAAGTCAAGAAGAAGGAACCTCTCTTCATCCATGGCGCTTCGGAGCAAGGCTTTGCGTCGGCTAGCGATCCCTCAACGGTGAAAGTCGGTACATGGGGCCTGTCTGACCACCAGTTCTTCCGACACTTTGCAGACCTATTTCCCGGAGATGCAGAGTATGGACTAGGCTCTGGTGATCATGTTGGAGCTCCTAACCGCATGGATGTTAGTCAGCCCTATGGCATGATCTACGGTGAAGCATGTCCTCAAGGTCGTACATACTTCATCTCGACCACAGAGCAACGCGGGAGGTTCTTGGGCATCGCGGATTCCAGTTCGCAGCCTAGTCTAGGAATTCCCGCGCTCAACTTGATTGCGACCGGTGTTACTGCGGTGTGGATTGCTAAATCCTCCAACATCCTTAAGATGACCGGCGGTCTGGTCGCGATGCTGTCAGGCTCCTCTACCGGAGTGCTCACATCCTACGCCCTTGGTCCTCACCCTACCTATGAAAAAAGGTACGAGAGGGGCCAAGTGACTGCTAGATGGGTGCTGTGTCCTGGTGTCCCTATCATTTCTATCTCGGTTGATGATAGCTATTCCCCGAAACGTCATTCCCGTCGGCGGATCTGGGCGACCGTCCTGAACGCCTTGGGTGAGGTCTTCTACCTCTCTGACCTCCCGCGACAGCCTGATGTGCCTACCACAAAGCTGTCTCCTGAGGAATATGAGCAGCTTGCTTGGAAGACGGGCAGAAGTGTTCGTTGGGAGCTTGTTGAGCTAAGCAGACGCATTGCACGGCTGGATCCATTC